CTGTGTTGATTTTGTTGATGAAGTTCCATGGGTAGTTGTTTTGCTTGAGAGTTTCAGTAATGTTTGATATTTCTTCTTCTTTTTCTTTCTCGTCGGTTATCAGAGAGTGTGCTCGTCTAAGAAGACTTGAAACAACTGAAATCTTTGCGCTGATGGGGTGTGATGACTTGAAGTCTAAATATTTATTTGAGTGGGTTTTCTTCCTGAATATGGATATACTAAAATGTCCGTTTTCCTTTCTCTTAACTAGGCAGTCTAGAAATGGTAGTTCACCGATGTCTGATTCTGCTTCCGAAGTGAATTGGATTCTGGGACATACACAGTTTATTTTCTCCAGGAATGAATTGTGTAGATCTCGTTTTAGTACTACATACCATCTAATCTCAACAAACAAGAATATGAAGCCTTAAGAAATTTGAAGAAGGACAAAAGCATCGTTATAACGAAAGCCGACAAGGGAAATGTCACCGTGATTATGAACAGAACGGATTACGAAAAGAAGGCGATCGAACACCTATCTGAAGGACCATACTTACTCATTGAAGAGAAGAAGAAATCCGCCGAATTCAACAAAATGAAAATAAATACAAACAGAGTCCTTCAAGAAATGAAACCCAAAATTGGAAATCCTCTCTGGTTTAAACTAAAACCAAAGTCTTATGTACCTTCAAGATTCTACGGTCAACCAAAAATACATAAACCCACAGTTCCATTGAGACCAGTAATAGATTTCACCAACTCACCGACATACAACCTATCTAAATACTTACTCTCGATACTACAACCATTTTTTCTATTTTCTCACCCCCTAACTGTTTGTTATATATATGCTGAGATTTTGTAAATTCCGGTTTAATAATACTTTGATAAAGCTATTAGCATTAAATAGCGAAACGTCAGTAAAAACAATATCGTTTTGTTTTTCATTCATTGGGAAATACAAAAACCTTTATTATAATGAATTTCCACTAGTTCCTGTCCATTTCACACGAGATTATTGATTATTCACTATCTCACACTTATTACGTCATGCCAACTTCTGTCTCCTTTCTAACTTACAATTAGTCATCCCTTCTTACACCTTACATTATGTAATACAATTTTCCAAGGACAAAATTTACCATTATCTGATTGGTCTAAAGATTTCTTTGTTAATTATAATTACGATTGTACAGCTCATGAAAATGAATCGTCGAAAAGAATATATATATATAACCCACAATGACAGATACATAATATCTTGAAAAGAAAAGAAAAATAATAACTGAATCACTCACTTATAAGTTATCTGACATACAGGCGGATATGATACAACTCCACTTGGTATTGTTGGTCTATCAAACGCTGACCTGAAATAAGCAAAATTCCAATTTAGATGTCGTATTCACGAATGCACATTGTTTAGAAAAGAATTGAAAGGCATGAGGAGAGAGCTGACCCGTCCCTAGTAAGCGTGTGTCTTCACAAGGTGCACAACCCCATAACCCCATTGTGGATTGAAACCAGGACCCTTCGACTTACAAGGAAGGCCTGGTCATTGATAATTCAACTAATAGGTTGGAATTAAATCAGCTGTGAATTCTATTCTCCGTCAAATTTGCAATGATATAAAGTGTTAATGCAATCACCAGTGCCACACAAATGAGCATAAACATCACGCCTATGACATGGTGAAACCTCACCGGCGACGACATTCCGTTAGACCACCTTCATGACATCAACTCGTTAAGCACTAACAACAACAACAACAACAAGGGACAGATTCATCATATTCAGATTTCGATTAATCTCGAATGATCAGAGATTTCTTGATACTACTTGCAGACAAATACTCGCCGAAGACATTGGGGCTAGTGATCGCGCTATGCCGTGAATTGGTAGAAGTTAGAATTCATGGGCTGGCTGGCCATTGGATCGGGCTGATCCCAGTGGCTTAATGGTCTACGAGCTAGCTCGCTAGCCTTGTCACTGAAAGGTACTGGGTTCGAACTTTAGTGGGGGTGAGTGCCTACTGCTGAAGTGTCCTACTAAACCAGACCGATGAAATAGATGTCTGGCTGTGTAATTCTCCCCCAGCTGGTTTCCCGATGCTTCTCTAACTGATGTCAACTCATGACGAAATCCTGTAAACAATCAAATCTTTGCAAAAACAACACTTGAAAATACTGTTAACACTGAAACTTACATTTCAGTAACATTTGTATCATCAGAACTACGTGATGTCCCTCCTCCGCCGCTGCTGACCTGTTCTTGCGCCCCCTCGTCAACACAAGGAGTAGTAATAGCAGAATTATTAGTTGAACTCAGTTGGTCATTATCATCACCTCCAACACTAGCACTAACACCAACACCTTCAATAATGCGATGACAACTACCTTGTACGCTGTTGTTGTTGCAATCACCTTTGTTTAGTGATGGACACACACGTTTATTAGGTGTAATACCACTAGTTTCCGAAGTTGTTGTTGTTGATGCTTTTCTCTTTACATATTTATTATTAAATAGTTTATTTACATATTCAATAGGGCTGCTACATGAAGGAAGAGGAGGACGAGCAGCAACAGTAGCAGCAGTATTCGTTGTCGTCGCCGTAGTAGTAGTAGTAGTAGTAGTAGTAGTAGTAGTAGTAGTAGTAGTAGTAATCATCTCCTTCGGATCATCACAATCAGAAACTGTTTGTGTTTGACAACATCAACAACAGCAACAACAGAAAAGAAGCAGAACAAAAAGGAGGATTAGGAAAATATACTTAAAAAAGTAGTGTATTACAATTTAAATCAAATAACCCAGAACAAATAATCGTAATTTTCGCATGCAAAAAAAAACAAACAACGATATTAGGTAGTTTACAAATTGATTCCTTTACGTTACGAATGGAGTATTGCAGGGGTGAGGTGGGGTGGGAGGACTTGAAGGTTCAGCTTTGAAGTTTCGTTAGTAGTGGTGATTATTTTTTTCCTATACAGGGTGGGTTTGTTCGCCTAAGGCATACTAGTGACTGGTCAGATTCAGGTAAGCAGTTACCTGGGTTCTAGTGAGAAGTTATGACCAATGGGGTAACACGGAAGGTAGCTATTTTTGACCAAAGGATTTTGCGTTATATCTTCAGTTTTGTCTTACTTAGCTGGTATAATATGATGAGTAATACTGAGGTGGTTGGCAGGCGTACAGAGTGTTAGGTAGTAAGTAGGGTAAATCCAGTCACACACAATGAAGTTGTAAGCCAGCTCTACACATCGAGCGGATTCACAGTCTTCCTTGTCAAGCTGACATAGAAGAAACGAATAGTTTGGAAAAGAATTACGGGTTGTGAAACCAAAAACATGACATCAATTCATCATCAAGTCCATGAGTACTGGTTTCGGTCAGCCACATATATAGGTAGGTGCGGAGGTAGGTAGGTGGATGTAAAATGTCTAGTTGTGGTCAATGGCAAACTAAGAACCAATGACGGCAACAGAGACTGTTGGTGTGATATCTTTCAAAATCGTTCCCGATATCGGTGATGCACTCACTCACTCACTCACTCACTCACTCACTCACTCACTCACTCACTCACTCACTCACTCACTCACTCACTCACTCACTCACTCACTCACTCACTCACTCACTCACTCACTCACTCACTCACTCACTCACTCACTCACTCACTCACTCACTCACTCACTCACTCACTCACTCACTCACTCACTCACTCACTCACTCACTCACTCACTCACTCACTCACTCACTCACTCACTCACTCACTCACTCACTCACTCACTCACTCACTCACTCACTCACTCACTCACTCACTCACTCACTCACTCACTCACTCACTCACTCACTCCCTCACTCACTCACTCACTCACTCACTCACTCACTCACTCACTCACTCACTCACTCACTCACTCACTCACTCACTCACTCACTCACTCACTCACTCACTCACTCACTCACTCACCCATACATTTCTACTTATTATAGTTCATTTGAATCTATTTTTTTCAACTGTTGGTTTGCAGCAATTCGACTGCTTGCAAGATTTCCTCAACAGATGACACCGATAGAGAACCAGTACTAAACCTGGAAATATTGGAATGCCGCTTCCTACTTACTTTGAGACTTCTCAACGGTACGCATCCACCAAAGTTTGATAAACACTCACCGATGACATTACATATTGCCTAGTGGCCAGTCGCGCTATATCGTGAACTGAAATAGAAGTTGATGTCCCCACAATCGCTCGGCCTTTTGTTTGAGAGTGCAGCTCTAGCCTTTACACAACCAAGTGTGACCTACAAGGTAGTAGGAGTGGAGTAGGGAGTCCACTATCCATTGGCAGTCGGTGACCGGAGTTCGGTTCATACGCCTTTTGAATGGGGCCAGACATCCAACAAGCCCTTTGTCCATACGTCTGCCGGTGAGCTCCAGTGAGCTTCATACGCCAGTCGTTGGAGGTTTGGAATCAGGGTTTAGCCATCTCCCCTAGACTGTCATCCAATGGACAGTCAACCCGGTGAAGAGCGCCGGGCATCCGCTTTCGCCCTCTCACTTTGGTGAAAAACACCTCCGCCACGTGAAGGCAGTGAGTAGGACTTCCTCAGGAGAGGCTATGTAAGACGCCCGGTCATATGGGAGCATTTCAAGAGGTGTGCGGAGGGGTGGCCAACCCGCAGCGCAAGGCACCCACCCCCGACCATCCTGAGGCTTTGGAGGGTATGAGGATCTGGCAGTGGGACACCCTGATTTTTATTTCACCTTCGCGGAAAAGAGTAACTCTTCTGTGAACGCTTTTTCTTCGATATGACTGCATGGGTATTTTCAACCTTCACACTCGTCATCATTTCTAACATATACTATATCTCCTACCAATCATAGACTCTCAGATGATCTGACCATTGAAAAACCGATTAATTAAGCGGTGTATTCGCATACAGAACTAATGGAAGTGTGAATGATATTGACACTACGTCTTTCAAGGTTGCAGATACGCCTTGCTGACTGGTGAATGTCAACTAGCACGAACCTAGGTTCAAGGCTTCCTGCCGATTGCCTCCAACTATCTAATATCAAATCAATGTGCACCGTGATGGCGAGCTACCTAGAATGGCGGCCACATTACAACCTGACTGGTAGAATTCAGTCTGCACCAAAGAAGGACTAGATACGTCACACTAGTTACTAGTGTCCAATCGAAATACCCACTACAGCCCGAATAGCTTAGTGGTAACGTCTCTGACTCACTGCAGTACTGAGTGACACGGGTTCGAATCTCAGGAGGGACATGAGTTCCTCCAAGGTTGCAGATACGCCTTGCTGATGAGTGCCAACTAGCACGAAACCTAGGTCCAAGGCTTCCTGCCGATTGCCTTCAACTATCTAATATATTGACACTACTATTAAAAGAGACAAATATGTCTTATTCCTTAACAAGTATATCTAAGTATCCTGACCGATAGCTGCAACCTTGAAGTGATGGTCAGGTTTGCACATATATCGCAATGACCCAACGACGGATTACACTGTTTTGGCGAAGTCGTGCTGCTAACGAGTAGAGATGTCAACAGGAGAGAAAGGAGTTTACCTCAGATGACCAGCAAGTCAACAATGTTGCCTTTTCACTCTGGGTGGTAAGTAGGAGGCTAGAAAAGATCGTCCTCGAAGACTGTAAATCCCGACTTACCTTACACAGTGGTAGGTTCTTAACACGAACACAATCCTAAAACACAAATTCAAAGAAGGTCATGTATGACCGGTCTGAAACTGCTGTCCCCATGGCTGAGGTTACACAACACTAATGCGCTTACTTTTAGAGGTATTTCCAAGGAAAAATCAAATTTCATGGTGTGGGTAATCGAGAAGTGACAACCACCCACACACTTCCTAAAGCACACAACGTTCGCCTGATCACCAGTCATATGGGTTGATATATGGAATAACACATACTGCCAAACAAAGGTTATTATGAACAGCTCGTATACACATAGCATCCTAGGAAACTCAATCAATCTCCTGTAAGGAAATTTAAACAGGATGTCATAACTGTTTATTTACGTCAATTTGTATTTCCTGGGTGTAGACTGACCAATTACTATGGAAGTAGGACGTAACAGCTTCCCAGTGATCGAAGTGATGCACACACATAGGACGTCCGTTTCGTCAGTTTACGGTTCGAGCTCTTCATTGACCAATGTGTAAGCGGTTAGATTCAGTTAACAAAGCCGAGTCAGTTCAAAAACCAAACAAATTCTGGCTAGCATTTTAAGGCGACGATGACGTTACATAGAATCGAATTTGCGGTTGACCAATTAATTACATAGACACATAGTAGAAGTGACCATTCACTTCGATGGGTTCCCTTTGGAATAATCAAAGAAACCAATTCTAATTGCACGATTATTTCTACAGCAAACTGTGATAAAATTTGTAAACTGTGCCATCCTTCATTCATTCCAAAATGAATTATCAAAAAATAGTGTTTTTGTATAAAACTAACCTTTAGCATTTTCATTCCACCAAGTAGCCATACTAGGAGAAAATAAGAAACAGGAAAAACAACACACGGTAAGGTTGGTTAACACATTAAGCAAAATAAAATGGAAGGGTATCTCACATACAATTAAAGTAGTAGAGGGGCGCACTTGGTCAAGTGGCAGAAAGCTCGCCTCTTAGCATGCCAGAGCTACTTGGATAAACGCCCAGGTATTCCAACAAGTCACTTAGTGGTAGAATACTCGTCGATCACCCATGCGGTCCGGGACTCGATCGATGATCCCCAGCTGACGTACTTCTAGAACTGGTTTAACCGGCAGTAAGCCCGGTAAATAGCGGGAAAGTTGGGTGTGAGTGAGGCTAGCAACCCTACATCGTGAAAAACAAACAGCACTGCTGCTAATGAAACTCCAAAGCTCAAGCCTGGAAAGCCCAAAGTTCCACTAAGGAGCTAAAGTCTAAACTCCAGTTATAATTAGTTCTCCAAGGAGCATTGGACAGTCATTTCTTCCTTGTTTGGGAAAATACAACAGTACTAATCCATGTTCTCACCGAGAATAGGACCCACAACCTTCAAGCCTACACAAGGCCAGTTCAACGTTTAAATCAATCGAATCCCTAAGACCTACAGATGAAATTCAATTTAGTGCTCACTGGTGACTCATTACAGCATGAAGTTGGCCGACGTTTTTAATTGAAGAGGTCATGACCAGAGCGTCCCACCGAGTTCTGTGAGCCTAACTGCTCGCTGAAGATATTGACTGGCGACTGCGTCATATATATCGCGAATGGTTGGAGTTAGATTTATGGACAACTGGGTTTTGTCCCAATGGTTGAGTGGTGTAGGAGCTCGGGTTGTAACCAGAACGTTCCGGGTTCAATTCCCGGCGGCGACATAGGTGTGTAAGCTTAAGGTACACAAACAACAATAACAACAACAAAACAGCTGTACAACACCCCCTAGTTTTCAAAGATGCTCTAACTGCTGTCAAATCGTGATCAATCTCGAGATCAGTCAAATCCCTTCAAAGAAACAAGTGAAAAATCAGAAAAGTTGATGACACCCGTAGTGTGAAGAATAGTGGACAACAATGTCGACTGATGTAGATAATTGGTAGAGTCAATAAATATATGCAGCATGAGTGATAAATGAAAAACTGGAATGTCTTTCTTTCAGAGAAAAGACCACTGACTGAAAGGGTACTTTGTAGGTCTTTGAACTCTTCGACTATTAATTTGTCGAGTAGAAATTCGGCTACAGCTGCAACTTTAATACCATCTGCATTCAACGCTTCATCTTCTTTAGAAGAAGCTTTTATGTGGCGGATTCTGGTGCCTACACAAAGAGTAGACTTTTTTCATTCTTCGGACTGTAACTGATGGAAAGAAACAACGTCGTGAAACTTCCTGTCAAATCGAATAAGAGCGCCTGTATAGATATTTATAGAGAGAGGATTCTTTCCATTCCTCTGAGATAAAAGAAACTGGAGTGGAACTCTTTACACTTCGACTGATCATACTTCCCGATTTTGCACAGATAGAACTCGATGCATTATGGTAGTCCAGATTCTTTATTCTCTGTTTGATTTTTAACTTTAATTTGCATGGTTTTATTGAAGGCAAACTGTTCAAATAATGCCTCAAGTGATAAACTGTTGTATACTTCTTCCACAGAATAGTGAATAGTATAGGTATGGAGATGGCATAGGAAGGGATGGGATGGCAAGATGATTGAAAAGACAACTTATTAATTAGTGAGCATTTGGATGAGAGTGCTTCTGGTGCTGTTGCGATAGTAATCAGACTTGCTCAGAACTGAAGGACATGATTAAACTCCCCGTTGAAAATTAATATGAATAGGTATACCACAGAATAATTCTAACCACCCATTATCCAAACGATACTTAAAAATGAGATCGGGATAAAATCTGCACCTCAATGTTTCGCACCACGTTCATACTGGGGTGCTGTTAATAACGACAGGTTATGCAATAACGACGGATGGTATGCCTTCAAAGTCACTGATGCGTTCGCACTCCACGGCCACTATTCTTTAGATTCGACGATACCGTCTCTTGAACACCAATGAGAACATTGTTTCCTCCAGGACTGCAGAATAACGCCAACCAACAACTGTGAATAAGCACGAAACCTAGATTTCATAGAGCTGTCTGAAATTTAGTGCAGACCACTGAACTATAGAACTCTATATGATAACCTAAACACACATATTCAAAACGATCAGTGGTTGGTTGGTTATTGTACGCCGAAGTGAGTGAAGGGGCAGCATGAATCATCCTTATCAGTTATTAGAATGAATTGCAGACGTTGAATAATACATCGCAGTCTTCTACCCAGTTAGATTACAACTCAACTATCGGGGACAAATTACTCCATGGACTGTCTAGTTGCTCAGTTTAAAGTAGATGGAATGTGAGTCGAAGCCAGGACCTACCGACTGACAGTCAGCTATTACTAAACACCAACGTTGTTGTTGTTGTTGTTACCTTCACTCAGTGCAAGATGAAACTCACCTAAGACTATGTTGAAGATCACTCCAAACTCTTGATTTACATAAATCATTCAAATGAGTTTTGACAAGTTGATTGGATGTTTGACGTGTAGGCGCTGGCTCATCTACGACAACAAACAACACAAACAATCGGGAAATGAAATTGGAGAATGAAGACAAACAATGCAAAAGATAAAGAGAGAGAGAGAGAGGGATTAACAATTATGAATACTACTCAACAACTGCAAAATACAAACAAATAAAGGTAGAGTATTACACTCTTAGTACCATGGATTGTTGTTTTCTTTCAAAGTATAGGCTGCTTACAGACAGGTGTAGGTATACACAATATTTTTTTCGATAATTGAGACTTTATTCAATCTGATAATATACACTAACATTCTGACCATTTTGGGGTTTCAGGACGATATACACACTTAAATTCCATTATAAACTGACATCAGTTGAAAGAGCCAGTGAAAACCAAAAAGTGTATTGGACAGTTGTTTCGTCACAGTCTAAGACACTGGCAATAAGTAACTATGCCCTCAAAGGGACGGAGGGTCGAAATCTCTGTGTCAATATTGAATAAACAACATATGGTTTGTCTATTCGAACAGATCTCCATTTTCGCGGTGCGGAGAGGGAGTGGGAAACATTGGAGGCCGTGACGTAATCATACGCTGTTTGGCAGAGGACTGGAGAAAAAAAGATCAGAAATATTGTGATATGTGCTGTAGTAACCCTGTAGTCCTGGTAAATTTTTCAGTGGAGAAATAAACAATCCGCGAATCGCCGATCTGTTTTCTGGTATTTTCGAGTTGGTTACCGTACATAGTAATCGGAGACAGCGATTAGTTTTCTGCCAGCAGATGTTGCCCGGTTTGGACAGTTGACACACTGGTTTCCGATAGGCTTCCAACTGACGTCAGTTCGTAATCTAACCTACAACCTGTCGTGTCTCTACTGTTACTGCTATCAACGTTTGACGTTAATAAGGGTCAATGGTTGGAGATCTTAGATGGAGCGATACAAAATCACTTTATAATGGTATAGATGTATTTATTGTCCCGAATACACTTATTACTGTCCATCAAAAGTACAGGCGTTGTTACCTATGTATGTGTTTCCTTTCACCCAGACCTAGGGATTCCCCTTGATTATCTCCAGACATGTAACATTTTATGCATTTAACCATAACCTTGGATTAATGGCATGAAAGCATAGGATAGTAGATTTCAGGCATTCACATGTTCATAATTACTAACAACTTTAGTATTTCCAAACTTGGTTAAGAATTTGAAGTAATTTGGTGAGTGATGGTGACTAGCAGTGGAACCCTTCCACCTCCACCCACCTACCACACACACACACCGTTTCGTCCTATTTGGGATCGACTCATCAACTGGCTGTATCTGCATCCCTCCTCAGCGAGTGATGGTGTTCCCTCCACTGAGGAGGCTTGAACACACCCACCCAGTAGCCACAGTTACAAAGACTAAAGTGTTATCATCCATTGAGCCAATTACTTGGGCGACGAGTGCCATCCATCCTCTTGTGTGCAACGGGTAACGGGTATTAGTTATTATTTAATTTTTCTAAAAGCCATTAGAATTGCTTGTATTCCACCACCTTATATTGTCCACATTAACTGAATCTTTTTTTATCAAGTAAGACTAAACTGGCCTGATTACTAATTGACCGACCAGTAATCACACAATTGCACTGATTAGTGTTAGTTAGTTGGTGTAGTAGTTGTTTGAATGATGAACACTGCTCAGGCAAAAGATGAAATTTTATTAACTCTCACTGCCTCTCTCTCTCTCTCAATAATCATTTGAAAACAACGAGTACTATTCATCCATGTAACATTTACAATAAATCAGACCTGACAATTAATCACTTGTCAGTCAGTTGGTCAGGCATGTACGAAAATTAAGCAAAAGTGCTGAATAATCAATTTAAAAGGTCGTTGGATTGAGGCGGTGATGAGTTCACATCACAAGGAAAAGTGATGAGACTGACCTACCTCTGTCTTGTTATCATAATGAAAATCCTGATTTTATGAAACATACAATATAAAATAAGTAATTTGTTCTTCATACCGATGCGTCACTTATTTTATTTGAATTATCAATAATATGCCACATGAGATTTCTTCAGTTTTGTAAAGACGTTACTCAGAAAACTAAGACGAATATACAAAATAAGCTGAAGAGTTCAATTGATGATCGAAACCACATAGATGTCTTTCCGGTGAATCCTGATAAGTATGTTACAAATCTTTCTGATGTTACTATATCTACTCATCAGAAAGAAGCATTATCCCTTGGACTCAAATTTTGTGTTCCTCGCACGCACTTTACGGATTTAGCCATACATGCTGAGTTTGAAAACTTATATGACCAACTCAAACCTCTTGCTGCAACATCCGATGAAGATCGGGGTTGGTTTAAGGCCAAGATGGTGGATATAGCTCATCAGTTTTTAAACAACAACCCAAAGGAGAAAAGCATCTTAAATTCCCAACATTTCAAAGCCTTGAAAGAGCTATGGGAAAATCCTAATATCATGATTACGAAACCTGATAAAGGTTCTGGAGTCGTTATTATGAATAGAAGTGACTATAAATCTAAAATGATGTCTATTCTTGATGATAAAAGCAAATTTAGCCGTGATCCCTCCTCAGAAGATATCCAGTTGTTGCAGGGCACAGTGACAGCTAATCTACTGAAGCTTCAAGGCCTAAATGCTATAAGTAAAGAAAAATTTGACTCGTTAAAGCCATCAGATTGTAAATTCCCGCATATGTATGGCTTGCCAAAAATACACAAACCCAATAATCCTCTACGTCCTATACTGTCAATGTGCAAATCCCCAACACATAAACTTGCTAAATGGTTAGTAGAATTATTGCATTTAGTCAAAACACAATTCTGTAAGTATGTGTTAAAAGATACATTTGAATTGATTGATTTTCTTGACAATAGTAATATTAATATTATGAATAAGAATATGTACTCTTTTGATGTAAACTCGTTATTCACTAATGTGAATTTGCTCAAAACAGTTGACATTTTGTGTGATTATATTTCCACAAACAATTTTTTCACCCTGTTCCCTATATCTTATTTAAGGGATTTATTACTTCTATGTACTAACAATGTTAGGTTTACATTTGAAGGTGATTGTTTCCGCTAAGTTGATGGTGTTGCTATTATGGGAAGTCCGTTAGGGCCCCTTTTAGCAGATATTTATATGTCGCACATTGAGAATTTATCGGAGGATTTAATCGAAAATGTGCCACTTTATAGAAGGTATGTAGATGATATTGTAATCATCAGTGATAAGTCTTGTTCTGCTACCTCAATTTTAAATCGAATGAGTGAAGTCCAAAATAGCATATCACTTACATCTGTAGAAGAGGAAGATAACTGTTTATCTTTCCTAGACATATTGCTTAGTCGACGGCTTGATGGGTCAATAAAAAGATCTATTTATAGAAAACCTACCTGGACAGGACAATATCTTAATTACCACAGTTTTTGCCCTGTTCGGTACAAAAAAGCCTTAGTAAGATGCCTCTTCAGTAGAATCCAACGAATATGCACTGAAGACACACTTGATGCGGAAGAAGGAAAGTTGACACAAACTCTGGTTGATAACATTTATCCAGACAAGTTCATCAGGAGATATAAAGTAGTCAGAACACCAAGACCCACTCTCCAACTCGCCCCTAAGAAAGACGTGTACATCAAGCTACCCTATATGGGGCATCAAAGCAGCTTGATAACTAGACAAAGACTGAACGCTGCTGTCAAAAAGACTTTTTATGCAGCCAATATCATAATAATAGAGAATGTAAAGCCAATATATCTATCTAAGCCCTTCGAACATGAGAAAAGTGACGTCACATCCCAATGTATTTACCAATTTGAATGTACGTGTGGACACACATTCATAGGGAGGGCTCATCGATCTCTGCAAGTAAGGGCTTCAGAGCATATTCCTAAATGGCTTCAGAAACAAATGGAATCTTCAGAACCCATTAATGGTGAGAACAGGAGACCTAGCTTCTCTATTGCGAAACATATTATAGAAACAGGACATAAAATTGACGTTAACAGATCTTTTAAGCCTATCTATAAAACGTGTTTGGGGCGTATCCTAAAGTTTGTGGAAGCCCTAGCAATTAGAAAGTTTAAGCCACCTTTATGCGTTCAAAAACAATTTGTCATCACATTAAACCTTCCTTGGTAAATTTTGTTTTGATACCATAGCAGATGTACTATTACCTCTGTTATTTGGTTTAGTGGTCTTCATTGTTACTTTGACCTTGAATATGTCCTTTAAACTTGACCTAAGTCTATTTTCTCACCTCTTACCTCTTTATTAATTTCATATATATTCCTATGACAAGTCCGTGTGTGATCAGATTGTTCGAAATGTGTTGCGCAAATACATTACACGATTCAGACAAATTACGTCTTCTTATTGCTTTATCTAAATTCATAAAGGGAACTAATTGTTTTAAATTTGTAAAAAATTATATTTGTAAAATCTCAGCGAGATTGAAATGAGTAATTCCAACGTTTCGTTCGGAAATCTGGTCCGAACTTGTCTGCAACAGAATGCATATCCTAAATCCGTAGCTGTCGAGTCACTTGACAACTCCAGTAGGTTGAATAAAGCAGCTCAATCTTCAGAAAGAAGGCAAAGCAATAAGTCCGACAGGGTGCTTCTACTAAACTCTAATCCTAAACACCATTATTTTGAAAATACGTCTAATCATAAAATTCTAGATACTAACAGTTTGAACAGACATGAATGCGTGATGTTATCTGATGCATAGGAAATCCTTATTAATAAATAAAAAATGGATATGTATCACTAATTATTAATACTTGGTCAAAATTCTCGACTGTCCATTTCTTCTTATGGAGACGTTAAGAAATGTTTTACAACTGTTTACCCACACACACATACACACTCTGTTTAAAGTGTTTAACAAAGGTAGACTAATATTTGTAAGTCCGAGGTCAAATTTTGATCACAGCTCATAAAATTTTGTTTATTATACTTGTTGAATGACTCATGATTGGACAAAGTTTTTAAAGACAAGTGATGTTCCTTTTATATATAAAACTATGTTATGTTAATTTCGATTAATTTCCCTGAAGAAGTTCGGACCAGATTTCCGAACTACACGTTGGAATTACTCATTTCAATCTCACTGAGATTTTACAAATATAATTTTTACAAATGTCTACTTCCCACTCGGCGCCCAACTATTTTAGAACTAATGTGTCAAATCTTGACGACAGTTCATTAAAATAAATAATGTTTCTGATATGATTGAAAATCGCATTTTTCGAATGTTCCATGAGTGGTGGTGATCAGTTGAGTTTTATTACTCGTTGATTTATAATCAACATTGAAAACCTGGTCCATAATCACTGCAAACGTTAGACTTGCGTCTATTGACTGCAGTATTTGATTTAATTAGACTGGAACTGGTGTGGTAAATCAGTCTCACTGATCAATTGATAGTGTGGTTGCTTGAAGTGATCACTGCTCGTGGTGAAGACAATTTTATTAACTCGTCTGATCACCTATTGAACGCTGATATGAAAATAAAGAATACCAATTATTTATTATTGTTTCCTTGGGTTCCGAGTGGAACATAGGGCTTCAACAGCACTTCTTCACTTTTTCCTACTCCCTGTGGTCTTCTTTGGCTTGTCGCACGATTGGTCATAGTCTCTGGTCTCCTACATGGTGCGCTCACTTTCCACTCGAAGGCCTGGCATGCGACGTCATTCGACGATGGCCTCCTCAACGTGTGCCCAATCCATCTGCATTTGCTTTCTACATATTTGTTAAGCAGTAGGTCTAGAACAGTAATACATTTATTTATTTTTCCGCGAATCCTTTTCAATTGGCTACAACTTGAACAATCCAAAAGTGTAAATTACAATAAAGATTTAAACATACTTTTTCCAAGATTTTTTTCCAAGTGGAACACAGGGCCTCAAGCTAGAGACTGGAAGTTTCGATAGTATTTATTTTATTCTATTTCGGTGGTAATTATTTTTACAGGATGGGGTTGATAGCCAGCCTCATGCACCCCTACAACTTCCCCGTTTACCTACCAGTCGTATTACTGGTTTAGAGAGGTAAAGGAGTGCGTCGTCAGTGCCCGCGGATCGAACCCCGGACCACATGCGTAGCTGGGGAGCATTATACCGCTGTGCCACCAACGCACCAGAGTCATCCAATTTTTTCAAAAATAGTCAATCCTTTTCACTCTTAGTTACTCAACAACTTACATCACTCCGGAGTACTAATTACCACTGAGGTGCTACCAATTACTTCTTATCCTTCGTGTAAACAGTATGTTTAAATCTTTACTCAATTTATACATTTCTGGTTTCTTCAGATTGTAGCCAGCGGTGTGAGAAGAATCCCCAAAATAATAAGAGATGAGTTCATAGTATCCCGGTGGTACATATGTCATTCATGCTTGAACAAAGCAAGTTTACTAAAGAAAAGAATTGTGCGAATTACTTTTAACCGAAATACACAATCTCAACGACCACTTATTAATAAGTGACTCGAATTAACACAGAACCTTGCACAGCTGTGCAGCAGTTCGAATTGCCACACTCCATTCAGCAAACAAAGCAAGACAAAAGAGCACAGAGAGGTTCAAAAGAGACAGAGATAATGAACAGAAGTGTCAGTGAGGGGAAAAGAACAAAAGAATTTTACTGCTTACGATAAATCACAAAGACTGAATGCATCTGCACCAGCCATCACCGAGGACGATTGTGAGCCATATCACTAATTGTCTCCAGTCACTGACTGATTCTCACCATCCCAAAGACCACAAACACGCACTATACATCTCCCTACAACGTGGTCGGCTGACTGGCTGACCTAAACTAACTGTTGTGGATTTCATTGACTGATGGAGCCGTGTTTTGGTTTGACCACCATGTGCTAGCTATTCTCCAACCTGATCCATTCTATGTCAGCTAACATTACCCATTATCGAAGAAGGCAGTGAATGACTAGGTTAGGCATGCGTAACACATGTCCTCCTAACCATCTCTCTCAATCGATGTAACTTCACAACCTCGTCGACTGATTTTCCCTCTCACCTACCCTTGGCACTCGACCGATGCCTGACCTCGATATTGCTCACTCTATTATGCTACCTAACATGGGAGACAGAAAGCAGACACCTATGATCGGAGACAGTTAGCCAGAATTTTCATGTCTTCCAATTTCAATGGCTGCTGAGCAGTACACATGTTCTTTGATCGATAGCCAACCGGACATCACGTCTACGCCATAGATAGCGTTAATTCAGCATATGCGAAACGAGCCTTCTGTATCCGTGCCGTGATTTCGTCAGCGATCAACCCGCTGACAACATTGGCTGCTACAGCTTCCCAAATAAGTGTAGTGGTAAACACGCACACGAAGCCCTCCAAAAGCACTTATTAATCAGACTCAATGCCATAACAAATGAGTCTATGCAAAACATTGTAAACACCTTTTTAGACAGACAGACACACGCACGCACACACGCATGCATATGCATACACATTATAACTATCATAGGATACAACAACAAAAATACAGAAACATACATAGCATTAAGTTACAGCACACATAATGGGAAAACAAACAACAAATGAGTCAACTCACTCCCTGCATCAGAAGGTTGTATATCAGTAGTAGTAGTAGTAGTAGTAGTAGTAGTAGTAGAGGCGGTCAGTGCTGCTAAATTTAAATATGTGGCTGGCGTAACCAACGGACAAATTGTAAGAAGCGATGGTCTTAGAATCCAATCGCTTCTTTTATCCGGGTGTACAGATGTCAAATGAGTAAATATGGCGCATTTATTATTAGCGCTGATAATTCCACCCGGCAGAACAGAATAAAATCGTGAGGAGATTTCGCTTTCATGATTATTATTGTTGTTGTTAGTAGTAGTAGTCGGGATCATAGCAAGCGTGACTTCATGCGAACTACCAGCAGCGACAACAGAACTACTAGTTGATTCAGAAGGATTTCTACTGTTGTCCTCCGGACGATGATGATGACTTGTATTTACATCAGCGATACTGACCGCCTCACGTGAAGTTGTTGTCCAAGAAGCACGACAGAGATGACAACGATACAATATTCGAGCAACGGTACGATCCAGGTGGTCTTCATACAAAGCACTGCTTGTAAATGTTGATCGGCAACACAGGCAAGTATAAAAACCCTGTGAAAATGGAGATACACTAATATTAATAATAATTAATACTTAAAACAATTTTAATAATAATAATAACACTACTTCACTCAACTTCCCACACCACTATGACTACTTACAACTGGGATGTCGTCACTTTGCCGTATGATTAGTCACGTATTCACCATCTGCCTGGATTCAACATAGAACTTGGCACCGAAGTGCAGCAGTTCGAGTTGCCACGTTCCGAAGAGCACGCAATCGTAGACAAGAAGATGAGTGAAGAGAACCAATAGAGTTTTGACAAGTATAAGAGTGAAACAGAATGAGTAATGGTAGAAAGGAGTATGAAAGATTAGAGACTGAATACATCCGCGCCACTGACAGCGATTTTGAGTCATTGATTCTTAGAGTCCCGAGGGCCCCAACCCGGAAGTCTGCATCTCCCTACCTGACTCAGTCTAGCTGTCAAGGATTTCATGGATTGATGCCATGTTTTTGTTTGGCCACCACTTACTCTTTTCCAACCTGCACCTATATCAGCTAGTAATGCCCGTCGGGGGAGGCGATGGTTAGGCATGCGCAGCACGTGACCTAGCTACCTCAATCTATGTAACTTTATAGCCTCGTCGATTGATTTTCCCTCTTTGCCCAACACTACGCCTAACGTCAACATTACTTACCTTATTATGCCACCTAACGTGAGAAAGAGGTCGTAGACATCTATGATCAAAAACAGTCAACCTTTTCATGTCTTCAACTCGTATTGACCATGTTTCAGAGCCATAGAGAAGGACGGGGCGAACTACTGAGCAGTACACACGTCGCTTGGTTGATAGACGGATGTCACGCCTACGCCAGAGATGGAGTAAGTTAGCGAAAACAGCCCGAGCTTTTTAGATCCGTGTTGAGATTTCGTCACCAATCAATCCGTTGGTGCTGATACAACTTCCCAAATAGATGAAGTGGTCAACATGTTCTATCACTTCACTCCCTATCACTAAGCTAGGAGTTGACGTAGTCCAGTCCTGTAGCAGCATCTTACATTTTACAGGGGCGAATCGCACGCCAAACATACGAAGATCGCTGCTCAAAGTGTTCACGTATTCACTATCCCGCCCTGGGGCTAGAGTAATACTACTACAGTAACAACAGAAGGCAAGACGCGAACGCCAAGGTATATTTTTCATTGAACAAATCACTATTTATATATCTACAGTTTATATTCGTCAGTCAATCACTGAACGTGTGATTTTGGTTTACATTAAACGACATGAAATAGAATGTTCAAATACACACACACATAGTATTCTGTTGCTAATGCAGTATTGAACTGTGAGAATATGTGAGAATCATAGACAGTTGGAACACATTGTCTGTATCACACCCACCACCACCACTACTACTACTACATGCGCAAACATAACTTACATTAAAAAATTTCACTTTAGACGATGTCAATACCGTTTAAGTAAGCTGTCCGCCTTTTTTTATCTCTCACAAAAATGTTTCTATGCCCATTGTATGGTTGTACACTAATGTAATATTTGTGTTGAAAGACGAATCAATTGTATTCTAGCTAAACTCAGACAGTTTGCTACGATGGCATTAACTGAGAGATATGAGAAATCGCTTGATAAACAGACAGGATGCTGAATAGTCCCACAGATTACGATAAGACAACTGTTCAGTAACATCCAGGTTTTGCAATCTTCCCCCGCCCCCCGCTAACTGATGTCAACTACTCGTGACCAAAACCTGTAAATCAATACACCTCTTAGCGATTTCATTCTCAACAATGATGCATAATCGCATTTTTTTTATTCCTTCACATTCCCAGTGGAACATAGGGCTTCAAGCTAGTGGCTTGAAGTTTCTGTAGCAGTGTTTATTTTTACAGGATGGGGTTGCTAGCCACATGCCCAACCTCTCCTCTTTACCAGCTTTACTTCTGGCTTAGCGAGGTGAAGGAGTGCGTCCAGTGGCCGGGGATCGAACCCCGGACCATGTGCATGGTCGGCGAGCGTCCTAACCACTATGCCACCGATGCACATAGGTTCGCATAGTTCACAAATATTATTATTATCATTATTACTATTATCAGTTAATTCAACATACTAACAAAAAGAGATTAAAGAACATGTTGCTAGGCTATTCAAATACATTACTTTTACTTTACTTCGGCTATCTCCTACGGGAGGATGAGCCGGCTTCATGAACATCTCGAATCATAGCTGCCCAGGCGCGGCGATCTGATGCAAGGAGTTCATGAAGTTTCATGGGAATTTGGTACGAGTGATGTCCCCACAATCGCTCGGCCTTTTGTTTGAGTGTGCAGCTCTAGCCTTTACACAACCAAGTGTGACCTACAAGGCAGTAGGAGTGGAGTAGGGAGTCCACTATCCATTGGCAGTCGGTGACCGGAGTTCGGTTCATACGCCTTTTTGAATGGGGCCAGACATCCAGGACATCCAACAAGCCCTTTGTCCATACGTCTGCCGGTGAGCTTCAGTGAGCTTCATACGCCAGTCGTTGGAGGTTTGGAATCAGGGTTTAGCCATCTCCCCTAGACTGTCATCCAATGGACAGTCAACCCGGTGACGAGCGCCGGGCATACATTAGAATAAATGAATCCAAATATTAATTCACATTCATATAGTCTTTTAAATAACTCAGCAACATGCCATTCACCTTCCAGTCAAGAATTTCTCGACATCAGACGAAAGTTTGAAGGAGTAAATATTGAGTACTCCGTTGACAGAATGTAATGCCTTCTGAGCAAGCCTTGAGTAGCAAACAATCATCTAATGTTTGGCATGCAATTCACTCCCCTTGCAAAATGTAAGATGATGAGGCTGCAGGACTGCATTACATCGATTTCTAGCGTAAAGATAAAGAGTGCAGTGGTAGCTGGGAAGTTGCATCAGCCCCAGTTGACAAATCAATTCTCAGCATGGATACAGAAGGCTCACTTCGTATATGCCAACTAGACATGGTACCCGGCTGGAAGTCAGCCAAAGGACGTGTGTACTGCTCAGCAGTACGCTCCACAATGGGCGAGATATGGCCATTGAAAGTGGAAGACATGAAAATTCTGGCTAACTGTCTCCGATCATAGGTGTCTGCTTTCTGTCTCCCATGTTAGGTAGCATAATAGAGTGAGCAATATCGAGGTCAGGCATCGGTCGAGTGCCAAGGGTAGGTGAGAGGGAAAATCAGTCGACGAGGTTGTGAAGTTACATCGATTGAGAGAGATGGTTAGGAGGACATGTGTTACGCATGCCTAACCTAGTCATTCACTGCCTTCTTCGATAATGGGTAATGTTAGCTGACATAGAATGGATCAGGTTGGAGAATAGCTAGCACATGGTGGTCAAACCAAAACACGGCTCCATCAGTCAATGAAATCCACAACAGTTAGTTTAGGTCAGCCAGTCAGCCGACCACGTTGTAGGGAGATGTATAGTGCGTGTTTGTGGTCTTTGGGATGGTGAGAATCAGTCAGTGACTGGAGACAATTAGTGATATGGCTCACAATCGTCCTCGGTGATGGCTGGTGCAGATGCATTCACTCTTTGTGATTTATCATAACCAATAAAATTCTATTGTCCTTCCATATTACTAATCTTTTCCCCTCACTGACACTTCTGTTTATTTCATACATTTGGTTCCCTTGATAAATTTCGATAGAGAAAGAAAGACCAGATTTGCAGTATAAAATGATATCATCATTCTATTTCGCAGGTTCTCATCAGCTGCTGCAAACTACCTGAAATTACATGGGTTATAAATAATAACATTTCATACTTCATTGTTTGAGAGGTAATAGAGAAAGCATTATAAGGTAAACGCATCCGGAATATCAGTATTACAATTTATAGTTTAAGTTATCATCAATTTATATACTATCAAACTATGACTACACAGAGTGTAGTCAATCTCTCACTACCTTGGTAACCATATCACCTTCATTACACTGATTAGCCATACACACTAGTGGGCTCAACTCACTAAGCAAGTTTTCAAACTGATGAACTTCAACCTTCTTGAGTTGCTATGTTGACACTGTTCATTAGATTTTTCTGTTTTCTGTATTCTCTCACCCCCACCCTTTTTCTTTTTTTTCTTTTTCTTCATAGTTTGATAGTATATAAATTGATGATAACTTAAACTATAAATTGTAATACTGATATTCCGGATGCGTTTACCTTATAATGCTTTCTCTATTACCTCTCAAACAATGAAGTATGAAATGTTATTATTTATAACCCATGTAATTTCAGGTAGTTTGCAGCAGCTGATGAGAACCTGCGAAATAGAATGATGATATCATTTTATACTTATGTTTATTATCTCTGTCTCTCTTTCGAACCTATCTGTGGTCTTTTGTTTTGCTTTGTGTGCTACATGGAGGGATTGTGGCAACTCGAACTGCTGCACAGCTGTTCAAGGTTGAAACCATGTTGAAACCAGTCAGTCAGAGTAGAAATAGCATGGAAACAAAAATTACATTGGATTAAAAATAGTTGAATAGTTACAGGATTTTATCATGAGGTGACCATTGGTTAGAGAACTATTGGAAAACCTGGGAGTACTGTACACCTGTTTCGTTCTAGTTTGTGACTCTTCAGCAGGACGCACACACCAGGGTTTGAACCCAGGACCTTCTGGTTACAAGGCGAGCACGTAGACCATTAAGCCAATGGGACTCGATCCAATGGCTAGCGGTTGCGCTATATCGTGAATTGGCAGAAGTTCGAATTCATTGGCTATTGGATCGGGTCCCAGTGGTTTATTGGTCTACGAGCTCGCTAACGTTGTAACCAGAATGTCCTGGGTTTGAACCCCGGTGGGTGCGTACCGATGAAGAGTCCAAAACTAGAACGAAACAGCGGTCCAGTACTCACAGGTTTTCCAATGGTTCTGTAACCAATGTCAGTTCATGATGAAATCCTGTAACCAATCAACCAAATCCCTACAAACCAATACTTGAACAGTTGAATAATTGCATAGTATGTAGAGCAGTTTTTAACGAAGAAAGATGTGAGTGGGATGAGCATAGAAACATACTGAAATATAGCCTTTCATTTCATTACAATTAAAGATGGCAAAATTGCAGGGTATAAAAGTAGACGACAACTATGATTCTAGTTACGTGGCGTGTTCTACTGACAAGATTTGTCAGTAGTATATACAGGGACATTCATCAGCACACAAAAATATCAAATAGTGGAGAGATGGATTTGACGTTAAAGAGGCAGGAAATGAAACAGTGTATTGCGACAAAACATGTGAGACACGAAAAGAAAAAGACAAAGAAACATAATACAAAGTGGGGATGGGTTGAGGGGGGGGCAGAAGTAGCACAACACAGAAGATATGTGCAAATATTGGATTTCATACAGGGTGTACATAATTCCCCTGTATATAGACATGTCAAATACTAAATAAACATTCCGTTACCAAGTGTCTTGTCTTCTACCGTCACAGTTGCATTTGGCTCTTTGGGTGTTGTTTTTCTGCATTTCCTGCACATTCTCACCTTCAGTTATAAAAGCTATTGCTTCACTTTGTTTTCATGCTCATCTTATTCCCATCTGTCTTCGTTCATAAAACTATTTTACATACTACACAACCACTTTTCAATCCCATGTAATTTTGTTTCTACGCCCCCCCCTTGTAATCCATATTCACACCTTCAAACTTTCATATCAAGTTGAATATTATTACTTTCTTCAATGTCACCTACGTTACTATGTTGAATTAAAAAAAATAATAATGATTGCGAACACTGCGAACTTATATATTTGTAAATGCAAACGTACAACTGTTTTGAAGATAAAATTGACGAAAAGATACCCTTTTCTGAGCTCATGTTTTATTCTCTCTCTCTCTCTCTCTAGTGCTCCTATCGGGTATTTTCCACAGAATAAACATCCTGCACTGGCACAAGTTAGACAAGCGCTGAGAAAGCAAGAGAACACTACTAGGACAGTTGTTTTTCACGTCCTAGTTTGTAATATAATCAACTCTGCATTACTGTATACACATGATCCCACCACGAATCAAACTAAACAGGATCTTGAAGTTACGACAGAGAGGGGGAGGAGACAGTCAACATTATCTCTCATTTTCAATGGTTTTCTCCAATTGATCTCAACCTGTGATGGAGTTGTTGTTTTTTCAAAATCAAGAAAATCCGGACACTTTTTCTATTTTTGGGGAAATGAAGTGAACACACACACACACAAAAATACTTAATTTAAACGCCAAAGAAACCATGTGGACTGCGCGAAATTAAGTAAACTAGTGGGGCGCAACACTAATTTTGGAAGCTGGTCAGAATGCTGTGCAATCCTAGCATTTAACGGTATAGTACATATTTTCGAAAAGTAGAGATTTCTAGCTTGGAAACGGTATGGTTTCTCGATTCTTCTTCTTATTATTATTGTTGTGCAACACACTAAGAGATACACTTATCGTGTGTGACAGGGCTAATGATAACCGTGGAACAGGAGTCGAGCCTGGCACCCAATTGGTTGGAAGTCAATTGCTTAGGTTAGTCAACTACATCCTCCTCACTGGTATGTTTTCTAAGATCACACATTTAATCACGGACGTTTCGCCATCAGATTAATCAGTTCTTTTCAAGGGAAAAACAATGGAACGCCCAGAATTATTTTATTCACTCACTTTTCTTGAAATTGAATTAAGTAGCGAATTTGGTAGTGAGTTTTCTAAACGAATATTTGCCTCATTTTCACATTGAATCGCGGATGCCGGTAACTGAAAATAACAATAATAGTGATAATTATAATTATAATATTGATAAAAAAACTGTTGTGCCTGGAGACGCATTTAACTCAAGTTAGACGAACCACAACTGCACTGATACTTTGTCCAAAAAAACTTTGGCGACAGCGTTATTCAGTTCAGTGGAAACAATCACAAATTCTAGTACAATTAATTCAGTTATATATCCAGTCATGTCAATTTTACAAGGGTTTAATCACCTACCTACTTATCTACCTCAAATTTCACAAAATTCAGTTACAACAACAACAACAACAGCGCCAGAAACACTATGAAGCCCTACAACAAGCTAAACTCTCATCCAAATCCTCACTAAGAAATTATCTCTTCAATCATCTAGACACCCAATCCCATCTCCATACTCAGACTGTTCATTCTCTTCTCAAGTCAGTCAGTCACTCAGCCACAGAAGTACACAACAATTTATCACTTGAGGCATTATTTGAACAGTGGGAAGTGTCTCACTTCCCACGTCCAGTGTGATACGCTGTAATACGCTGGACCACCGATAAGAAGACTCTAGAACATCTGGATTTCACGCATCGATAACATATGTCGAATGTCATACGGACTCGAAGACTTACAGGCAGATAGGTAGGCGAAAACCAAAAAACTTCCCCAAGAGGTGAGACAGGCAGCGAACACACGACTCCAGGTGAACATAGAGAAGATAGAGAGGGAGGTGATGAAGATAACCAACCAACCGTCACAGCAACAACAACCAGCACTAATCACCATCAACGGGAGAGATTTGACTGAGGTTGTCTCCTTCTCTTATCTAGGCAGCCAGCGTCGTTTCCACTACAGCCATTCGGAACGGGTGAAGATGTCAAAGCAGGCCAGAATCAGAAAGGCAAGATACACCTTCATCAATCTGAAACCAGTTTGCAAATCTTTTGCACTCACTCAGCAGCATAAACAACAAGATTCGCATTCTATTCAACACAAATCTGAAGTCAGTCAGTGAGTCTATTCTTCTATATGGGTCAGAAACTTGCACTGCACGTGAGTAGTCACGAAAAGGATTTCCAACAGCCTGTTTCAGACTTTCATCAACAGCTGCCCACTTCGCTGGCTGGCTGACTCCATACTAAAGATCAAATGGCCAGGAAGAATTAGCAACAAGAAATTATGGCTGGGAAAAAACCAACGAAGAGCCGCTCGCTCAACAAATATGTAGGAGAAAATGGAGATGGATTGGGCATAAATAAGTTGAGGAGACAGTCAAATGAGGTCGCGCACAATGCAGGTCATTGCTCAAGTGGCACCCGAATGGGAAGCGATGAGTGGATCGTCATTGCTAGGGTGACATGGAGGAGATCATGTGAGTAAGAGGAGCAGATGAGAGATTGTGGGCAATCATGGTCGAAGCAGAAGAGGACGGCAGAAGATAGGACAAAGTGGAGATGTGTTGTTTAAACCCTATATTCCACTCGGAACTCAAGGAACAATAATAATAATAATAGCAGATCTCTGATTAATATTGGCGGAGATTTCATGACAATAATCCGCATTACTTAACGAATCACTGGAAATCAAGGTTGATAATTTTTAGACTATATACCTATTGAAGTAAAAGATACAATGTGGTAGTTAGGAACTATTCGTCAGTTTACGGTCACTGTCTGAACAGAGAGGAGAGAGAGTACAGAATAGACTAGTGATGACTTGGCTGAAAATATTTACTACTCATATTAACAAATCAATCAATATAAACTATGAAAAACCTACCTGTAAAGTCAAACTGTCTTGAGCCATAGCCGATTGATAAATTTGCCTCAAGACTGAATTAGCACTTTTAAAAGTGCAATTTATGCCGGGAAATCGTAAATCTCCCGATGAGTTTCGAGAGATACGACCCCATAGGAGATTATCATTAGTAGAATCAGAATTCATAATTTGTTCATCAATCCTATTGGCAGCTGAAGAGGTTGCCAACTGTTTAAAATAAAGGGAAATATGAATTTTGAGATGTACATATATGGTAAGATATTCAGTAGCTTTATAAAAACACAGAAAGGACTGTATAATACTTTCCTTAACCAGCTGGATATATCTGCTTATCAATAAGCGATGTTCTCACGAAGTCTAGAATCCACTACTGAGTTGTGGATGATAACACTCCTGGATGCAAACCAATCTGCAAAGGCATTGGCGATCCAATGCACAGAGAGTCGCCACTGATCCTCAGCTCGGAGGTTAGATTTTACAGGTGTAGGACAAGGCTGTGCGCACCGACGCATTGTAATCCCGACATGTGATGGTTACTAAAACAACCACCTAGAGATACATGAACTTATAGATTACTCTTAACAGTTCACTTGTAAGGGTGAATGCAGGTACGGGTTCCCCCCCAGTGCTGTAACAATAATTCGCACATACCACACTTATAAGCATTGACCACCAATTGATTAAGTACGATTTGCGCAGCCTGCATGTTATTGCACAGTTAGACGATGTCGTTTGCAAACTCGAAGTCCATACAATTTATTATTAAGCAATACTTTGGTAAAAGTATGCAAGAAATAATGCTCAAACTTTGAACCTAATAATTGACGGGAAAACACTAGTTACTTGTAAAGAAAAGTCAGGGTTAAAACAACTCAAAGCACTTAATGTACACTGCAGACGAGGCATATTCTACCTACTGTTGTTAAAGTATTGCAATTGGGAAATATCGGTACACAAGACATCAGGTAATTGATCACCGTTATGCCTGAAGTGTCACATTGATAACAACTACAAGTCATCAACTGAAACCATTAAATCACTACAGTTTAGATGACCACATCATACCTTGCATGGGTTCAATTAATACCTGCCACTAGGACAATGTAAACCAAGGAAGCTTGCTCTTAAAAAGATTTTATGGGAGGCAGCTGTTGCTATCTCTCAATCCTGTTCTAAATTATGTATGGAAAAGTAGGCGACACGGTAATCAGAGTCAAACCTACTTGTTGCATACTTCAGATTATTTTATTAGGAATACACTTACTGTGATACAGGTTATATTTATGTATTCTACGGTTTCATACCTTAGACTTACAATTTTGTTGCTTACATGTGAGTATACACTGTAAGAGATGATTTCAAGTCAGATCACAAACTGACATTAATCAAAGAAACAACACCAGGAAGTACTGGACAGCTCTTTTGTCCTAATTTGAGACTCTTCAACAGCACACCCACTTACTACTACTCCATCAGGGATTGAACTCTGGGGCTTTAATTTGCGAAACGAGTCCATTCATCATTCGGCCACCGGGACAGAATCCTATGGATCATGAATTCTGTCAATTCGCGACGTAAAGCGCTACCACCCACCAGTCTTGTCAGCGAGCTTCGCCCCTGAATCCAACTCATTGGTCACGACATTTCACCAAAACACCAGGTAACTATATCCTGTAGCCAGTCAGTAGTGGGCTGTTCAGTAACCCCCTGGTCCTCTAACTGGTGATAGTCAGTCAAACTCTTGCAAAATAGAAGTAGATGGTTTGTTATGAATTATTGCACAAGTGAGTCAAGAGTTTAACCAATTATAATAAATCCAAATAAACGGATAAAAATGTATCCATTGTTTCCAGCATCAGTAACATTCAAATGACTTTCGGATAAACCCAAACTGGGTAAAAACTGGTATCATCTCAAGAACACTTTTGTGACGCATTAAAAGTGAAGTAATAATAAAGACACTGTATAATTACTGATCTAACTCTTTATTAATGTCATAACATTACGAATTTTTTTTAGACAAAACGGCACTAAAAGACATGGAAAAGCACTTACATCATGGGGTGTACGTGGAGGAATTGTACTGGGTACGATGAGGGGAGTGGAATCATTGACACTGGTTACAGCAGGTAGAGAACTTCCTGTAACAAGTCCATTAGACTCGTTCACATGCCCACTAAGCGTCCTAGAAATCGGTTGCTGAGAGACTCTTGACCTAGTGTAGAAAGTATTCCCTGGGAGGGTTATATGTTCAGATGAAGTAAAGTAAGGTGGTGAACAGGTGACGCTTTGCGATCTTGTAAGTCGAGTTTGACTATTAGATTGAGTAGGCTCAGAAATTTCTGTAACCTACAAAAATAGTGCTTATGTACAACTATGGATATTTCGTACACGGGATACACAAAAACTATGTGGAATTAATATAAAATATACCATAGTATCCACTCCAAAACGACTTTAGAACAAATTTTACCTTCGAGGTGAAGAATAATGGTGGAACTCATATTGAATAAATGAATAGCAAACCACACTAAAAGTCTGTTCAAGATTCTATAATCGATTCTCTATTCTTTAACTCTGGACTAACATCAGCATCAGTACTATCACATAACAAGGTTCCGTTTAGGGACTCACTGTTGTGGTGCTGAACAAGAACACTTCCGCAGATCGCTCAGTGATTAAACGTAGATATTAGCCTCCCAATGGATGTTCTACCTGATCCCTGATGACACAACCCATTTCCCTTGCTACGAAATGAATTGTAAACATACGTTCAACCAGATACCCAGGGTCATGATTGAACTGAGATGCTTACAAATATGTATCACAACAGCAAACAAGTGACTGGATGTATTACTTCCAAGATTCATGTCTATAAAGGTCATATAAACATCACAAAATTAGTTTTCCTGCAAAAGTTAACCTACCATTCTTTGTCCCTAAAGACAATTCTAATACTACATGCTACTTATATGCAAACGACGAACTTAATCCCTACCGTCTTCCCTGAAACTACATTATTTATATGTAGTCAACTGTTTCGCTGAACTGTGCAATCAATAATAACTGTTTTAATACCACCACTGGAAAGCACACGTAGCAGGAAGTGACTGTGATGACACGAATAGGTGGCGTGAAAGAAGTGAAGGGCAGGAAAGTCTATAGCATTTCTGTATAATACTGAGATTATTCTACGATGTGAACATGGTGTAAACCATTTATACAAATATCAACCGATGCAGTTAAATCATAGCGGCTACCCCAACACATGACGTTCGACACCCAATTAGATGTGTTACAATCAAATCAAATTGTATCTTTTGTTCTAGGATTACTTAAACTTTCATGAAGCTGAATTCTCACGTATTTACGTCATAGGATGCTAGAATTTCACAATACTACTACAATTATTCAGTAGTCCGCACGGATTACAAAACAGGCATTTATTAGGGGAATTTTAGCAAGACCAATGTAAATACAAGTCTTATTTTCGATACTTAATTCAAGCTGTACAAAATCAAAGAAATGGATTGGGTAACTATAAACAGTACAGCATATTCAAGAGTTAGTTTGTAAGGATTAAACTGGTATCAATCCGTCGTCAAACTCGTAAAAACAAATCTAATATTTACAAACCAACTATTGAAAATTAATCTGATGCTCGCTAGTGAATTGTCTCAGGACGGAGTTTCCTAGAGTGAGAAGTCATGACCAGTGGGGTTCAACCATTCAAGTGTGAGGATGGATTTCCCACCGATGGCATTGGTTGGTGGTCGCGCTAAATCACAAATTGGTAGAATTTAGAATTAATGCACTGGCCGTTGAATCGAGTCCCAATGGCTGAGTGGTATACGAGCTTGCCTTGTAACCGGAAGGTCTTGGGTTCAAACCCTGGCAGTGGGTGCGTACTGCCGATGATTCCCAGAGTAGGGTGAAGCAGCTGTCCAGTACTCGCGGCTGGTTTACAATGGTTCTCTAACTGATATCAATCCGTGGTCAAACTCGTAAAAGCATAATGCATACCAAAAACTTACTGGGACGGATAAAATTTGCGAGGGGGAGCCTTCCGAAGTTGGCTCTTGTTGTATGTTTGTCAATAAGAGGTTCCCTCGTCTCTCTGGTAAGAAGAGCTTTGTAATCACCACGTCCTGCAACATTTTGCATCAAACCACTATAGCACACAGACCACAAGCACGACGGGGCTTGAATAGCCCGGGGTACAAGTTACTTATCGTCATTTATAACAAGTTTAGATAACCGATCTTCCTCTTGCTCTAGTGATGCCACGTTGACGTTTCTTTCTGAAAAAGAAGAAAAAGAAACTTGTTTAGTGGCATTATATTGGTTTCTATTGCGTTACACCACAGGGGTAGAACGCAAGCTACCAAATTGCGCGTGCCATGTATGTTGCATTCACAGGACTAAACAAAACCTATCACGAAATCCTAACTTTCAACATCCAATATCATTTTTACAAGCTAGTGTAAACTAAATTGATTTGTCTGTGCTCGCTATCAGGGAGTGAGTGCCCTTCAGCACAGAAGAGCACCTATCGCATTCCAGACGCCCATACTGCCTCTGCGACACCGGATTAGCCCTCTAGTGACGGTAATAGAAAGACTGGTAAAAAGAAGAGGAGTACTAGGGGTCAGAAACCTTCAGCTAGAGTCTCCCAGAAACTTGTGGATCAAGCCTCAACCACACCGGTGGACAGCAGACAGACGCGATCGAATACGGTCAGCGAGAGGGATGCCAATGAATGGCGTAATGTAGTTTCCAGCAATAAGCGAGAATAGGACACCATAACGGCCACACTGTCCACGAGGGACGAAAAGAAACCTGCGCTGCAGAGGAAGAAAGACACGGCAAGCAAACCTGATCTATCTGATAGGTCTCTCATTCTCCATAAGGTGGAGATCAGGTTCGAGCATAACCTTAGCTTGATCAAGCCCCTTTTAGATAAGTTACTGCCAACAACAGTATCAGGCATAACCATATACATTATATGGAATTGACCGAAAGCCTGAATCGACAGTGAATCAGCCGGTGCGCCTTCTCAAAGTCGTGCTCAACTCCAAAGAAGAGAGGGATGTCATTCTAAGAAACTCCCAAACTCTTAAAGGATCGGGCAACATGTTCGTGCAGACTTATACCTAGCGCACCGGGACAAAACACAGTCTAAGGCCCTAGAATTAAGGGAACGACGCTGAAACAGCGAAAAACATTAAGATTAAAGGCTTTCGAGTTGTCAAACTTCGAAGTTTGATGATCCCGAAACCCCTGCGGGTGGGCCGCTGAAGCACCAAACTGAATCGACAGTTTGCTACACAGACCCCCACAGGCTGTTGAACAAATGGACTTAACTGAGTAATATGATTGACTCCGGAAATCCGGATGTAATTACCATCACACAGGCATTGCTCACACCCGATATCTTTGATGACGAAGTTAACCTGCCAAACTTCAAAGCGCATAGGGTGGACCGACTAAGCCACAAAGGAGGTGGCGTAGTCATCTACCTCAAGAAATGCTTAACCGTGTGTAGCATCGAAGCACTCTTTCACGGAAATGAATCGTGCGAACTTCTACGCTGCAGAATTAAACGCGTTGGCTAAGATATTGATCTCACTGCTATATACCGCAGTCCTGACTGCAGTGCAGATGACTTCTTATTAGAGATGCTAGGCTCCTGGACATCGAAATGTCGGAGTCTCGTAGTCGGCGACTTCAACGCCCCAACAGTTGACTGCACAAGCTTAATAACACCATCTTCAGACAACTACTCTGATCATAAACTTCTGGAATGTAGTATTTCGCTAGCCTTAGTCTAACATGTCATTAGGCCCACACAGGTAAATCAGTGGGTCCTGATGGTATTCATACAAGGTTTCTCAAGGTGCTATCAGCTCACATAGCCTCCCCACTGAGCACGATCTTCAAGCAATAGTAACCCCCACACACAAAGGAGGATCGATTCAAAGCCCTTCAAACTACAGGCCTACAAGTCTCACCAGCAATTTAATCAAGGCACTGGAGAGAATCATCAATAAAAGTATCATGGCATATCTGGAAAACAACAATTTCCTATCTGCAGTACAGCGTGGCTTCCGAGGAAATCTCTCATACCTGTCAAATCTTCTCACCGCAAGAGAAAGCCGGGTCAAATCAGGGGAAAACAGAAGACCCATCGAAGTCGTCTTCACAGACTTCAGTGAACCCTAACCAGACACAAGGATCTAAGTCATATGCACACAACAACACGCCGACCACCCATTTCGGTTATAACTATGCAGACTACATGACTCTAGCCAACCCATATGACCAAAATTTTCTCCAGCGACAACTGGCAGAAACGCCTGGGATCATGCACATAGCACATATGATGTCAGACCAATTCCTTGCTGGTATAGCAAACACCTTACAACAGGGAAACTGCTTCTTCCCCGACAGATAGCAAACACTTTATACACACCTAATACCAATAGTAATACCTTAGATTATCATACTAGTATCTCCCATAGCACGCAATATCTAAACGACCAACCACTCACGAGTGACATCTCACAACCCATCCCTAAGTATCAAACTAAAGAAAACGTCTCTAGTGATCAAAATGTTGTAATTAATGAATCCGATAACGACTGCACATATTCAGCTGATAACCATAGAGCATTTTATTATGATATTGCCCATACACTAAAACCACTTAGTCAAAGTCTATCAGTCATCCTCATAAACGCTAGATCAGTTCTTAACAAACATTTAGCATTATGTACGTTAGCCTCTATATGCAATCCGTCGCTGATCATGATCACTGAAGCCTGGTGCTCAAGTGATATTACGGATGATAGCTTATCAATTGATAAGTACAATCTTTTTCGAGGGGATAGGGAAACAGGTCGTGGGGGTGGAACACTCATATACGTCAAACAACCCATTTGTTCAACGCATTTTAGTCACCCTATTCTGTCACAACTTAATGATTCGGTGTGGGTCGAAATAAAAGTTCTCAGAAGTAAACCTATCCTTATAGGGTGTGTATACCGACCGCCATCATCTAACCGCGAATACGATAACGTACTCAGCAACGTATTCAGTGTTGCATCCAATCTTCCCTTCAGTTATAATATAATTGGAGGTGACTTCAATTTGCCTGATATATCATGGCGTACACTTCGTGGACCCTCGAGGTATGATAATCTCCTTAATTCCATCATTACAGGAGGATGGACGCAACACATAAATGTACCCACTAGGTCCGATAACATCCTTGATCTTATATTCACGATCAACGTAGCACCATCTACAATTCATGTGGGACATGAATTCCCAGGTAGTGATCATAAAATAGTTGCATGTTCGTTTAATATTTCTCCAGGAACTATACACAGAAACAAAGGGCTGGACTTATCCGGCATGTTGGTTGAAATTTCGCTCGGCAAATTTGTTTTGTCAATAGTTTTTAATAAAATTATGTTGTATGTTTTCTGGATTGATAGGAATTCTCATTTCCTGACTAGTTATGTTGGTGTCTGCGTCATTTAATCTGACTGCGACGCACTTAGCATATTGGTAGTAATGATTAGTGTTTCATGCTGAATGCGTCAAAACATCTCTACAATGAAGAAAATGGGGTAGTTGGGGGGTAATGTCATCTACACAAATAGTTTATTTCTTGTAGAAGCTGCAGCTTTCGACAAAGTGTCATTCAATGAAGACTACGTCAAAATGTGGCTATTTTCGTGTGAAGAACAGTACTATTTTACAAAAGAATGCTATCAGTACATGCGAATCACCTATAAATGCCAACAGAACATAAAACCAATGTGTAAACGAACGGCTATGGAACTGCAATCCAACATAACCGACTAACATGGACCAAAATGACCTTTGAGCGTCTCACTCCATCAATGACCTTGAGCATGCGGGATAATTTCAGCCAAACAAAGTTATTCCGACACCTATAAGACTATACACGCAGGTTGACTGGGACTTGTATCAGGACTTGATTAGATACTCTAATTGGGATTCCTACTTTACCAATGACTCCTTAGAGGAAGTCCTTAAAAACTTCTA